TCCAGTGGCTGGAGTGGGACCTCAAATTACAGGTGCATGTGCCTGGCACCATTTGCTGTGGGGAAGAAGAGGATCTGTATCTTCTGCAAACCTGTTGTGTGCAGGGGTGGGTGTACTTCACTGGCAAACCTCAAGCTGGACCAGCCAGCTAGTAGGAGGTGCTTGGTCTGGGCAGAGGTACCAAGTGGGCAAAGTGTCTGTGTTGGTAACTGAGAGGACCCATGAGTGTGGGGTACCTGTAAGATGAGTATCTGAGTTCTGGATCTGGCCGAGATGGTGAGTAGAAGACCTGTGAAGCATGTGAAAGTGTTCAGGATCTGGATGGGGTGGATGGACAAAGGGGTGGGTTATGCCAGTACAAGGGGTGGGTTATGGCAGTTCTGTGTGAATTTATGGATTAGGAGGAAGAATGGGGAACACAGAGAAAGAGGGAGTGCACACAATTTTAATAATGAACTTCCAGCTTTACCAGTTGAAGGGTAAGGTGTTACTTGCTTATGTTTTAGGTGAGTCCTTGAAGTACCCAGGCCTGAACAATAGGCCTTGAACCAAAGCTGAACTCCAGATGAAACCCAGAACCCAACAATGTATATATCTAATATGCATAGCACTAATCATATATGCAATGTATTGCCCATCCATTTTAGTATGAATATATTTATACATATTTTTATGCCAATCTATAAAAGCTTTGTTGTAATGCTTATTGTGTAATAGTAACCAGCAGAATGACCCTTCTTTATTTAGAGACACATTGCAAGGCCAAAAAATCAGACATCTGGTCTTGATCAGAAAATAGATACTCCCTTGTTGGGAAATACGTGATTAAAGTTAAAATAGATAGAGATACTCCCTTATTGGGAAATATGTGGTCAAAGCTAAAATAGATGGAGATACTCCCTTAGGCTCCTCCTTAAGACCTGGTCAGGCTTTGGGGAGAATCCAACAGGGAGGGTGACACCAGATGTTTCCGCACCTGAAGTTTTGCCAATGTTTATTTAACTATATAAAATCTGGACCCTCTTGCAGTGACTTTGGAGGCCTCACCTATGGGTGGACGCACTGCATAGGACCTCCCGGTTGCTAGGACATGTTCTCCAAATCCTTGCAGAATTACCTTGACATAGGCAGTAAAATAAGCCTACTCTTTTGTTGGTGACTGTGTCCTTTCTGTTGACCCCATCAATTGGTAAAACAGTCTGGTAGGTGGGTGCTGTTGAAGGAAGTGCCTTACCTGTGGCAGTGTGTGTGACTGACCACATCAGTGTCCTCTGTCCATACACGTATGTGTATGCATGTGCCTACCTGTCTGTCTTTAGCACACGCTCTCAGCTTTGCTGCTGGTTGAACCTGTCAATGGGAAAGCAGCAGACATGTCCAACTGTCTGGCACAGAGACCTCCAGGTCACTGGAACAGGGTCCAGCTGCCAAGTAGGAGGAACCCCCAGAATCTGGAGCTGCTAGAGGTGGAGGCCTCTATACTTACAATACTGCTTAACGTGTGTCCATGTGTTTCACCTCATGAAATAACAGATCCCTAGATAGGTCTGGCAGGATACGTATAGCAAGACAGAGGTGCCACAGAGACCTCTAATGCATTATGTTTTTCCAAATGAAAAGACTGGTATTAAATACCTCCAGTTCTACAGGGTACTTACTCTGAATTTAAAAATCAGAACCAGTGCATCAAGAGTTGCAGTTCCCAAATTGCAAGCATGAAAAAAATTCAAAACAAATATGAGTTTTAATGAAATTCAGGAAATTTCAAGAAAAATTCCAAGTCAGATCTTGAGCACATTACTAGAGGAAGTCACTCAGACTAAACAGGTAACAAATTCAGTAAAGAACTGGGCATTTGAAGAATATTAGCAGCCACCACTGAAATTTTGGAAGGGGTATTTTTGTCCTCTTTTAGCCTGTAAACCAATCACTGTACTTTAGTCTATCGCTGACACCTGGCTTCATGGGCAAATTATTGTGCACACCTGAATGTCACCTGGATTATTGGCTTCAGTTCCTACTGTCTAGGTGCTGATCTGTTGAGACAGAGGTTGTCAGCTCTTCTGTAAACTGCTTTATTTGCCTTTATCTATTTCTCTTCCAGATATCCAGTTCTTGGTCTAACCACATGCAATGTTGTCAGAATTCTCAAAACAACTGCTTTTTCTCAAATCTTGAGTCTTGCCATATAAACTAACTCCAGCATTACGGCTTTACCTCACAAGCAGATAACGGACAACTGCACCCACAATAATTAATAAATAAGCAGTGCTGTGAATTCAGCTCAGTAATTTCATTCTGCTTCAACTCCACACATCCAGGCAATTCAAGCACCAAGCTTGAAAATGTGGGAGCAAGATTGAAGAGGTTCTCCCATCCGCTAGACCCTTCAGCAAAATACGAATGGAACTGAGGCCACGTTTGGTGATTTGTGGTGACTGTATTTTCTAGTATCATTATGAATATGAAGAAACTTCACCAGAGTGACACTGGTCCTAAGTCATCTTCTAGAAAACAAGTTCCTTCACAAAGCATTCGTTTAATGATTATATTCTAAAGCCATTGGTAGTACAAATTTACTGGTGAGCAATATAAGCTACAGAGGAAGCACACAACACAGCAGAATAGTGACGCATGGCATTTATAGGAAGCTAACGTCCCAGTGTAAGTGTAATGTGGGGAAGACAGCCTGTTTACATACACATCTCACAGGTGCCTGGTTATGGGTTGTCTCGCTAGTAATGGAAATGCCTAAATTGTTCTGAATGGGAGGGGTTTTTGCACAGTAGCTAAGTGCTTGTAAACTTTAAAGCCCCAAGACAGATAGCTGGTTTATGTGGCCTGCTAAGTACAGATGTGGAACTGCTGTACTTTTGCTACACATCTTTTTACCTTTCATGACAGTGTAGGAGGCTGATAGTCAAGATTTTGTTGCTTGTAGAATTTCTGCTCCAATTCTTTTAATAGCCTTTGTTAGTACGATCCTCTTAGGTGTAAGTTTATGTCCCTAAAGCTACATTGGCAAATAATTACCCAATATGCAACAGAAGTCCAGCACAACACTTCATGTGCCTTCCACATGGAACTGTGGACAGGCAGTCACTTCTGGAAGGTCTCAGGAAAATTCCTTGCCCAGTATCAAACCCTGGGGCAGCCCAATAACTTCAAACTTATAATAACATTTCACTATGTGCAAATCAGACATAGAAAATGCTTTTCCTGGGATGTTTGCAAAAGATGGATAATCACTATAACAGAAGTTGTGACTCTGTGCAGCACCACATCTAATTGCAACATGACTTGAAAAGAGGGGCTTATTTTCTTATATTGCTAATTTGAACATAATCAAGACATTTCATTTCCACCATTGCTTTAGAAGGGGCCGCCTCCTTCCACTGAACTCTACTCAAATGTTTATAAGATTAAAATGAATAGTCACTAAATTAATAAGAGGGGCTTTAAAAAATTAGAAGGTTGGTTTCTAAAAGAAGATGAACACTGTGTTTTTTTTTATCTGAAGTGTTCAGTGCAGCTTTGTTTCCCTGCTAATCACAGGGTCAGGCTGTTTTGTCTCTATGAGTATGTCTATACTATCTGGTGCAATTCCACAAAGGGAGAATAAGCTGCCAGTCTTCAGGGACACTGGCAGCTAAACAGACCAGCCTCAACCTGGCCCACTGTCTAACCACAAGCGACACTTTCAGAATTCTCAAAACAACTGATTTTCTTGAGGTCAGTTCTCAAGAAGACATACACCCTTTAGGTACTGCCTAAACCTGCACAAACTAATCTGGAGTCAGGGTGGGGGTGCAGAGGAGTAGGGAGAACTGAGAAGATGCACAAATAGTAACATTTGTCAGGAAAAAACAGCAAAATGCTGTTTCTTTGTTTCTTGTCTTCAGCTGTATAAACTTCTGGTGACTTGATGGGAGGGTGTTAAACAAAATAAGAGATAATGCATAAAAGACCTGTAGTCATTTGTCACAAGCATCAGCTGTGACAGCAAAGTATCTGTCATCCTGGCTGTTCAATTACTTATGCATCTACAGACAAATTATATCATGACACATACAAATGACACTTTAAAATCCAAAGCTTTCCCCTTTTGCAGTGTAGGAGGGAACAAACTTTTCATGGCGTTTACAGGATGAAGCAGAGTAGAAAGGCAGAAAACAGTAATCAGTGTCACCATGGCTATAACGAGATAACTCTTTTAAAATTAATTTTCATGGCTTATATTTTTTTTGTGACAAAGGGTAAATGACATGTTTTATCCCCATTTCTAGATAGCAAGCAACTGGCGAAACACATCTTCTATGGAACATTCCTTGGTTATCTACATAAGATACTCTACACACTGACTGTGTCACAGTGTTTTTAATTGCTGATTAAAAAGGGCCTTGACAACCCAAAGACCTATACCAGCTTGCTATCTTACTTATGGAGTAACATAGTTCATGGCTTCAACTCTGTGGGGAAGAGAACAGACCAGACACAAAACTACCCCGTTTTTCAAGAGCGGGATCTGCTCTTTCAGTGCCTGGCTCTTTTTTCCCCAGCTGAAGAGCTCTGTACAGAGGGAACAAAAGGAGTGCAGAGAAAAAAGAGAAACAAAGTGCTTAGATTTCTTAATTTCTTTTTATTTACCTGCCTTCTGTAACTCCTGCACTTCTCCCCCCCTTATCTGTTAAAAGTATGATTTTGATATATGAATGGTTAAAACCAGAAAAAAAACCCAACACCCAAACCCTCTTTCCAAAGTTTCAAGGTGAAAAGAAAGAAATATGAATTACTAAGCAAGTTTTTTTTTATTTTTTTTTTTATTAATCTGTGTTCTTTCATATTACTGCACCTTTAAAATAGCAAAACTCTGCAAGGTCCTTAAGACATATCAGAGTTTAGAGTGCAGTTTATGCAGCCCCTCTCATATTGTTGTAATTATTGCTTAGGAGGCATGTAGACATTTTTAGACTCTTACCAGAAGAACCAGACTTTTTTTTTGTTTTTTTTTTTTTATTTCGGTAATTTTATTTTTCACATCCTAATCTGAAAGGGTTTGGAAGTAAACCAGCACTGGATCATCAGCTCTCTGTGGAGCATTCACAGTTCACAGAAAAGCTGTGACAGATAAGACCACATTGTTGTGTATGAAAGCACACTAGGAGAAGTCACGCCTCCTGCAATCCGTCACAAGAAATCTCTGTTGCAAACCAAATATCACGTCATAAAATAAAACTTCAACGAGTTAAAGATACCAGGAACAGAAAGGAAAAGCTGTGAAATTGCAGGAGGTAGCTGCTGGAAGGTCAATGAAGCTCAAAATAAATAGTGTCTAACACCTGGTCCATTTCACCAGCAAACAGAAATAAAGTGCAAGTGCTGACTATCTCAGGAAGCAGGAATTTATGAAGAAGCCCTTTTCCAGATGAAAAGGCCTTTTTTTCCTACCTATGTACATATAATAATTAAAAAGCAGATATGTCATAACACAGTAGTCCATTAATCAAGATGAGTCAAGCAACAAACATCCACAAGAATTCACAACACATGGCTGAACATCGGTGATGGTTATAACCCTATATCCTCCAACATCACAATTTAATCCAGAGGGTGTGTGAAATTATATTATCAAACCAGCATATTTTGAAGTGAGTAGGTTTTTAATTTCAGCTAATAACTTCACAAATATCAGGCTTCCCAACAGAGAAATAGAAATCTTGACCAAAACAAACCCATGGCAAGAGTCCCAATCACTTCAAAACAGATCTGTTCACTGAGAACATTGGAGACATGATTTATGAAAACAATTCAAGCAAGGAGGGGAACAGCAAAGTGCACAGACTAATTAGGAAGTACAAAGGAAAGGAAAAGGGAGAACAGGATGTTCAGCTATAACAAGGAACGCTTTGTTACAGCACTTCAAGGATGTGGAGGCACCTAGGACAAGAAACAACACACAAGTTTCAGCCCTTGCACTGAAGAAGTATCTGCACCTTCACAGTGCATTCTGAATCAACTCTGTTACTCATTACATGCCTGACAATCCCAGTTGTGAGGCACCAAAAGCTACTGTAGCTGCTTAGGAGGGACAGATAGAGGGACAGTGAAGTCTTCCAGGCACATGATGGGAATGCTTGTTTTCCTGATGCTTTGTGGCCCAGAGAAGGGTGGTACCTGGGAAGACCTTGGGCATCAGGATGGATCCTCTGGCTGTTTCAATTCTGGCAAACTCTCCTTGTTCTGGAATTAGGAAGAAACAACTGGACACAAATCTAGCACTCTCCAGTGGTCACTGCAAACAGCTGAGTAGCATGTGCAGCTGCTCTCTGTAGCAGTTACAGTTTCAAGACTTTGGTGTCTCAGGACCAATCACCAATGACTGGTCTGGAAGTGAAGGGTAGGAACCTCTAATTTAGTTCACTGGTATCAAACCAGGCCCCTGCGACCCTCAAAAATACCTTGACAGAATTTTATTACTTTGCAGAAAGACTCCCAGGATGCAGCCTCTGTAGGCACACAACCCATCAGTTCCAGGACATCTCTATTTCTCTGACACAGTCAGACACTTGGAAACAGGCTGCAAAATTAGCTACACTGCCAGAACTGAATTATCCATAGTGCTTCTTTGGATCTCTTGTTATTTGTGAGTGGTTTATAATTACTATTCCCTCATGCCAACCTAACAAAAACTTTGGTGGCTGTTCCACTCAACTCAGCTCCCCTCACAGAGGCAAAGCTCAGGAGAAGCCATGGAAGAGAGAACACAGGGAAAAGTCAGCCTGGGGCTACTTTACACAACAGCTATTTTACACAGGGGGAAGCGAGGGAGAAGCAATACAACGCATAGGCTAGAAACTGGCAGAACACACTCTGATGCTAGTGTGTTTGGTGGCCCTCTCAGATGCCCTGGTAAATACACATGTATGTGCTCAGTTTGTCAGGCCTGCAGTGCATCTTTGCAACTAAGGAAAAGAAAGCCCTTTCTCCCCCAAAAGTGAATCCAGCTATAAAATAACAATATATTAGAAAGCGAGTGAAAACCTGCATCTGGGCTTCTCAAACCACCTCTTGAGAACTTACTTTGAAAGTGTCCAACATTATGACTGTGAAGTTCCCCAGGCTATTTGTTTTTCTTAAATGTGCATTAGTTCGTGCTTACGAGACTTGTCTGGCTACTGGAAGTTCAGGTGTACCCATCTTACAACAGCACCAAACAGACAGCAGAAATATTCTGTTAACAAGTCTTTACTGTTTTATTCTATTGTAGAAGGTGTTGTCATGAACCTCTATATGCAATGATCTGGAGCCCTAACAAGCAAGAATTACAAGCATTACCAGTAGAGACATAAAATACTAACCTCTCTTTCCCAGCTGCACTCATATGACCAAAATATTCTGTTCTAATAAACAAGTTAGTGGTATGTAAATCATTTTACAAGGCACTGAAGGTGAAAAAAGTGTAATTTAGTTGGGCTCACACAGCTAAACAACAGCTATGTTATAGCAACATTATAATCTCCCCAAAGGATTATGGGATAACATGAAATCATTCTTCTGTAAGAGAAGGATAAATAACACTTTTATTAAAATATCTTCTCCTGTATTGGGCAGGTCAAACCAGTTAATAGTGTTAATGATCCAGACTCAGGAAAAGGAGACAGTTTAAGAACACCCAAAGAACAGGTGTCCCACTCAGAGTCTTCTATTTTTGTTTGGTTTGGTTTGTTTTTCACATAAGTTTCTTTTTTGCTGCAAGCTGCAGAGCCCTGCAGCTTGACTCTCCCTATGTTTCAATGGAGCCTTATCATATGCAAAGTCAAAGTCAGTAGTGTAAGGAAGAGAGAACAGGAGAGCTCATAAGTGCTGCCAGTGTCCGCATGAGCATGACTGGACCGTCCGTGGCCCCGGGGCTGGGGTTCAACCGTGATGTAGCCATTAATGATGCGGATGCGGGGAGGAGGGTTGGTGTCACTGCAAGACAAGAAAAGAACGTCAGTCCAGACTCAGCCCACAGCTGCCTAATGCCCGGAGAGCAGGAGGTGTTCAGCCTCTGTGCCCTACTTTCTGTTTTCTGGGCTGCTAGGAACAGTCTCTCATAGTAGGACTATGTTTCCAAATGACAGAGTGCTGCCTCATCCCTTCCTTACATGTGTGGGCAGCCCTCACTTCAGCCCACGTGGATTAGGGTGCCCAGATGAACTGCAAAGCAGTCTCGAGGGAGAGCAAGGAAGAGATTTAGGAGGCCGGACTCAGGTCCACCCAGCCAGCCTCCCCACTGCTCCCACACAGCCAGTCAAGACAGCTGTATTCCTAGCACCTTACAGCTACACAGAAACTAAGTAAGAACCAAAAAAGCTTTGTTGCAGAGGAGTGTCACTGCAGCGACATTTGCTGAGCACAGGAAGAGTAAGGCACCTGCTTTCAGCTGAATCAATCCATCTTCCCCAGCCATGCTTCAGTATGTGCATATTAGCATGGACCAAACTACATCCTGTACTGCATATTCCCTTCAACAGGTCAGGTATTACAAGGGGGTTGCATGACATGCTTTAAGGAGAGAAAGAGCCGTTTCCAGAAATGTATTCTAGAGTCACTGGGAAAAGATCACAACATCCCAGAGTAGCTCCCAGTGTTGAGCACTCTGAGGTGGTGATGAACAGGAACTGAGCCAGAGCCTACATGATGCTGAACTCCCATTATGGCAAAACATGATGGAGGAGAGAAATTTGTATGCTCCAGGATGCTAATGCCAACTGTCCTGAACTGAGGAAGCTCCCACACCATGGCAGGTCAGGAGTCAAAAGGGTCAGATACCACAAAGGTGTTGCTCTCTTTGGCAAAGCATTGAAAGCCATGCTTGACCTCACAGCTATGAGGCTGACATACACCCCAGGGCCTCATGGTGCTGTGTGAGCCAGAAGACAAATCTGGCCAAAATTAAAAGCAAATCTACCTGCCAGATAGAAAAGTAGAGTCATTTCTCCTCCACCCACTCCCTTTTCTTGCTTTATTCTGGCCATCTGCATTAAACAAAAATGCTTTGATTACTTGAATTGAAGGCAATTAGTATCTTTTATTAAAACGCTTACCCTTCCATACCCAAAGGCCCCACAGAAGGTTTGAACAATAACTGAAGAGAAGCCAGCTGGCAGCACATCAAAGAAACACAGCTGACAGCTGATGCATGTAATCAAAGCAACGCTGCCAAGCCCACTGCAAGACTGTATGAAATCACTTGCGCAGTGCTTTTCACATTGCCGGCCTCACAGAATGGCCCACGCATAAGAAACCTGGTAGGTGGGCGGCCCGGGCGATGCGCAGCGCAATGGCTGAGGCTGCCGGTGAGACGAGCCCCGCACAACGTGTGAGCCTGCGCCGTTTCAGTGGTGACATGTCGCGGCTGTGCCACGGGGTGGGGCTGTCAGCTCAGCCCACTGATGACTAGGCAGACCGCAGAGGCACGGCAAGGACCGGAGGGGCGCGATTCCCCCCTTCGTTACAGACACGGGTGGGGACCGTGCGTGGATGACAGCCACTGCTCACGACAAAAGCAAAGAATCCCAGAATCCCAGAATCCCAAGGGTTGGAAGGGACCTCAAAAGATCATCTAGTCCAACCCTCCTGCAAGAGCAGGGTAACCTAGCGTACATCACATAGGAACTTGTCCAGGCGGCCCTTGAATATCTCCAACGTAGGAGACTCCACAACCCCCCTGGGCAACCTGTTCCAGTGATCTGTCACTCTCACAGTAAAGAAATTTTTCCTGATGTTCACATGGAACCTCCTATGCTCCAGTTTACACCCATTGCCCCTTGTCCTATCACTGGACATCACTGAAAAAAAACTAGCTCCATCATCCTGACACTCACCCTTTACATATTTGTAAACATTGATGAGGTCACCCCTCAGTCTCCTCTTCTCCAAGCTAAAGAGACCCAGCTCCCTCAGCCTCTCCTCATAAGAGAGACGTTCCATTCCCTTAATCATCTTTGTAGCTCTGCGCTGGACTCTTTCAAGCAATTCCCTGTCCTTCTTGAACTGAGGGGCCCAGAACTGGACACAATAATCCAGATGTGGCCCCACCAAGGCAGAGTAGAGGGGGAGGAGAACCTCTCTTGACCTACTAACCACACCCTTTCTAATGCACCCTAGGATGCCATTGGCCTTCTTGGCCACAAGGGCACATTGCTGGCTCATGGTCATCCTCCTATCCACCAGGACCCCCAGGTCCCTTTCCCCTTCACTACTGTCCAGCAGGTCAGCCCCCAGTCTGTACTGGTACATGGGGTTGTTCTTCCCCAGATGCAAGACTCTACACTTGTTGAATTTCATCAAGTTCCTCTCCGCCCTCCAGCCTGTCCAGGTCTCGCTGAATGGCAACACAGCCCTCTGGTGTGTCAGCCCCTCCTCCCAGTTTAGTATCATCAGCGAACTTGCTGAGGGTACACTCAGTTCCCTCATCCAGGTCATTGATGAAAATATTAAACAGCACTGGCCCCAGCACCGACCCCTGAGGGACTCCACTAGTCACAGACCTCCAGCTAGATTCTGCCCCACTGACCACAACTCTCTGCCTTCTTCCTTCCAAACAGTTCTTGATCCACCTCACTACCTGATCATCAAGCCCACACTTCCGTAGCTAAGGAAGCATTTGGTGCTCCCATATTTAGGCAGTAGTCTTCCGAGCTGTCACCAGCTTTGCTTTTATCTCACTATTGCATTGCAGTGGCTGCAATTCAGTATGTACCCCTAATGTACCTCCAGCTTAGCCACAGTAGCACATCCTCCCAACTTGCCTCTTCTTCTGAAGGCACTGGTGCTGCAAGTGCATGCATATCTCACATTAGGATGCTCACTGACTTCCCTGACCTTCATGAGAACATCTGTGTGTGAAAAACTGCATGTGTCATACCGCATGCATGATGGGAGCTTGGGATCATAAAGACTCCAGATCATCCCTTAGCATTTCAACTCAACAGACTGTCAACAGACACCCAAAAAATAGTTCACAAACAGCTTTTGTGAACTGTAAGGTAAATGATACACTAAAAGACAAAACCAAATCTGATATTTGTGTTTGTTGTACTAGTAAATCTTGAACTCTGTGTAGGTGCATGCAAACCCCCGTGTGCATTGTTTCCCTTTCTCTCCAAACTACTCACACTCAGGCTGGAAGGAGGAGCAGAGACAGGGCAAAAAAATACTCTATTAAAGAAGAAGGTGAGTTTGGTCTAAAATGTCTGAATGCTTGGAACAGAACAGCTGCTGCAACTGCTTGGAGCCAACCTGGGCAACATATTACTCAAACTAGTGGTACAGCTGTGACCCAGCAACATGACAAAAGAGGCATAGGAGAACTCAGATATATACTCAGTGTCTTGGGGAGCAGGAAGAAATATTCTTCAGAGTCAAAAAAAAAAAAAAGGGAATGTAGAGGCTTAATTTCAAGAACTGCAGGCTCTTCTTCATCATCCTGACCTGTCTGGTTAGTCACAGTACCAAAAAATAAAATGCTTTCAACCTGAGTGTGGCAGAAACACAGAGGGACAAAGTACAAAAGACAGCAGACTCAGGCCTGTGTGTTATCTGACAGGAGGTCACCATTAAAGTACACCTTCAGCCACATGCCTATAGCTACTATAACTACTAAGGAACAAGTTGGCTTTTTTTGCAGGCTGCTGTAGTTCTTGAAGGTGAGTAAGCTCTTCTAGATGATAACAAGGGAGTTTGTGTGAACCTTTGCCTCACAACACACTCCATTTTTATATTAACTCCATCATCCATTAGGTTGCCATCCCCCTTTCCAGATCTTCAGTAATGCCATGGGGCTTGCATAATTTTTAGAGACTGGAAGAACACAGAGACTGTAAATACTGCATAAATACTGTCCAAATGCAAGGAGCATATATGCCAGGTATGACATTTTCCACATACTCAGCAGCTCTTGGATAAAGGTCAAAGGCTTTGGTATGTACCATCTTCTGCTGAACACAGCCTTCTGTGATAAAGAGGACCACCATATGCTCACAATCCCTCAATTCTAAATGCAAAGTGGCGCAGACAAGACTTCCATTTGTATTATGCCTAATTTTTCAGAAACCTAACCTAACGCAGAAGAAGCTATTTTGTTACTAAAAGCACAAACAGCCTTGAGTAAATATTTCAGCAAGAACCACAGTGTGGAGGCAGTGATCTTACAGGAGAATGGATATTTGGTACATGAACTCTGAATAATCCCGGAAGATACAGCAAGGCCATGAGAGGCCTGAGGAAGCTTGAGCAAGCAAGATAAGAAGAAGCTGGAATTCACTGACTTATGAGAACTGTGGACTGTTGGCAAGCTTTTGAGGTCAAGTTCTCACACCTGTGCTTAACCAATTATATGTTAGTCACTAAGGGTCTTCAAGACATGTATCCAATCATAATATACCAAATCACTGTAAGTGCATGTAAGAAATAGTATGTAAGGAGTTAAGGCTTTGCAATAAACGGCTTTTGTGTGATCATATTGATCTCTGACTGAATCCATATTTTTTCTGCAGCACCATAGTGAGGGAGAAGGTCAGACCCAGCCTTCAGCATATATCTAGCCTTTGCAGAAGCTTGACATACTGGATTAAGCAGTCTAAGTAAAGTCCAGTTTGTATGACAAACCCTCCTCCCTTCCCAGCCATCAGCTACCTTTCCTCTAGGCGAACCCAGAGGTCGTTAAACTGTCTCAATCTTTGCTTCTTCTGCTGCTGCTTCCTCTTCTTTTTGTACTTCCTGTCTACCTTCTCCAGCACATCAATACCATCAGGGAGCAGCAGGTGAGGCAGCAGCTCTTCTTGCTCTTCTTCCTCCTCCTCCTCCTCCTTCTGGGGATGCAGTGGCAGTGGGAGCTCCTGGGACACAACGTAGGGACCATGTGCCAGCGATGATGATGAAAAGGCTAACAAGGTTTTGGTGGGTTTTCTGCTGGAAGAAAGAGGGAACACAGACAATATTTGAAAGTGCTTTTGAGGCAGAATCCTGGTACAGATACCATCAAGGCACATATAAACCAGGTGTTTCTCCCTGACATTGGCTGGATGCTTATTTCTCTGCCTTGTATTCCTGCCCCATCGTCTTTGAGCCAATTTTCTGATCAAAATAGTGCTCTTTAATGAAAAAAGCTCTGGAAAAGAGGTAATCTGGAACTGAGAAAAGACTGCAGTCTGGCTCAGGCTGGAATAACTTTTGAGAATAACCTTGCGTATCTAGAAAGAACGAAGAAAGAAATCGCCCTTAAAGTCAGAGAAGGTCAAGACTAGACTCCTCTAGTCTGATGTACTGCAGAATAGAGACCAGATTACTCCTTTCAGCAATTCCTGCCCAGAGCATGAGAAAGGTGCAGGGACAGGACAACTAAGGCACCCCAGCTGAAGGAGCGAGTCCTAGATCAACAGCTCCCACTAGTGGAGAAGGAAAGTAATGAGCTAGTCTGCAGAGTGCTCATGACTGCAGAAATGCATCTTCAAATTACGGTCTTTGAATAAAATGCCTCAATACACCACTAAGCAACCCTTTGGGCCATGTAGTCTGCAGCAGATTAGCTGTGGCAATGTCAAGTTCACCATTCTCTCACCTTTTCTTTCATGAAGCCAGATGGTACAGAGCAGCCAACGCATAGCCTTTATAAAACACTGGGTGAGGAGGTATGTCTGACACATAAAAGACCAGAGGTCAACTCACTATTGTGGCATTGACTTCTAGTCTAGGTATTTACTGTCTCCATGATGATCTGCAAAAGGAGATAATGCTATTTTGCCACTCAGGTGAGCAGAACAAGAAGTATGAAATGGTGGCTTTAAAGGGGTACATCAGTCAAGTATGGAGGTCCATATGGAGGGGAGGAGGCTGAGCAATTGCAGCTCTCTCTCTGTTCACAATGAAGAAGTAAGCTTTGCACACATAGCAAGTATAAGGAGTAGGAGTCAGGACTCCGGGTTTCTAGCTGCACAGATCCTGTATTAGACTGGCAGCATTATCCAGATTTCAAAGCAGCTCCAGCAAGATACTGTTGTGAATCTATGTGCATGCATGAACTCTCTCACAAAGCAAATCTTGGAAGCCCAAAGGACCACTGTTGAGCCCAGAAAAAGCTCTAAGGGCTATTCTTACCCAGTTTCATGCAAAGGTGATGTACTGAAAAAAAAAAATAATTTGTTCCACCCTGATTACTCAAGCTCTGTTCCCTTATATTTGGAGCAAGCAACATCTCCTCATCTATGCTCCCAGGAAGGTAGGCTGCAGTCTCTTATCGACTCCTGGCATGGTACAAATACCTAACTGATCTTTATGGCTACTTCACGAAGAGAAGAGATGCAGGAGTCTTCTGTAACAAGATAAAATTGGAGACTGGCTTGGGTTGAAATTCAGAGGTAACAGAGAGCTAACAGAAAGGTAACAGAGGACCACACAGTGCTGTGCAGAAACCTGGTTTCTCTCAGTGAAATCTTCCCTGAACCACAGCATACTTCCTTTCTCCCTTGCAATGGCATAGAAATGAGGAAGTTGAGAAAGAGGCATGTTTCATTGAGGATGCAGTTTTCAAGCTAGGCCACCACTGTGGGCCTGTCTCTTTGGTAGAGAATAAAGAGGGCCCAACCTGAAGAAAAAATGAAGTTGTAGACTGGAATATGAAGGAGAGAGTAGATGGAAAATGAAGAGGATTTTATCTTATTTCCTGCAAGGAAAATCACAAGTTGATCATGCAGTACACTTTATGTGACAGAGACTGGCACAGAATGGGTCTTGGGCTATCGATCACTTTCAAAATCCTTGTGATTCTCACTCTCACTCTCATCTCTGAAGTGTCATGACCCTTTGGCTCTCCTGCACAACATTTTCACATCACCCCCTTTAATGGCCTTACACAGTGACCCCCCTGCCAGTTGTCTCCAGTGACCTGATTCGATTTTTCTGAAGGTCCTCTGCTTATGTTTCCCTTTTCCCCTGTTTCTCTTCACTGTGCCTGTTCCTTAACTGTGAAAGTCACTGAATGGTCACCAGCCCTCTTCTGTAGATAAGACTGCCTTGCTGCCTGCAGCCTCCCCTAGCAAACCCATGGCGATACCATGCTGGAGCTCAACATTGCCAAAGGCACAGCCAAGATTATCTCCAAGCTGCATGGCCAGTCCTTTATTCTGACTCCTGCAATCTCAAAACACGATTAATAACAGACAGTCATATGCATAACCTCCTTTGTAACACTTCCTGCAGGCAATTCTTCCAGGGACTGACAGTGAAAGGCACAGAGATGCAAAAGTACATCCTTCGTCCCCAAGGCCAATTCCCTCTTCCAGCACAGCAGCTAAGCGAGGAGTCAGGAAGCACCTTAATTACAACTGTGATTATGTGATGAATATTTTATAATATATATATGCATTCTAAAATCAGGAACAACAGTTAAAGCCCAAAATAAGACAGTAGGAGCTTGACTGAACTTGTGGCACTATTTATAAACTGTCCTTTGTGCTACTGTATGGTTGGAGCACCTCTTTCACCTTCCTTGCTTTGGTGACACCACAAAGAAAAAGTCCTCAAACTCCACACGCCACTACCAGCACTAATCCCCTTCCCCTGCATATAAGCAGGACACCTCAGCAGTTGTATCTGCAGGTGGAATTGTGTGACTGCACCCAACAGTTTTCCTGTTACAGAAAAATATGCATAATGATCTCTCATCTTTCTGCGTTCACAGATGCAAACGATGCCTCACAAGGATCTTTGGGTCTAGCCAGAGTACATGAAGCTGCGAACTGTGCTGCTATTGCACAATGTCATGTTGCAGGGAAGGGAGACAACTGCAGACTTCTTAATGCTCTTGTTTCAGGACTACTCAGCTACTGTATCTGACAGTAAAACAGCCACTTGAATGCTCTCAGTTCAACCACTTCCAGTTCATTCTTCTCTTAATTTTGTCCTGTGAAATAGTAGATAGGCACTGACGGGACCGACTGCAGCACCGCTATCTAGGCCAGTAGCTGGATATGGTTTTATTGAACACACTGGCCTGGTATTTGTTCCTACAAGCCCAGTATAGCAATGAAGTGAAACCCATCATCCAAACCCCAAGACTCAGACATACTCTTCTCTACAGGTTTTCCCTCACCTCAAATGCTCTTCTCCTTTAGAACTCACATTTTTCTTGAAACTTGTTTCATATTTTTAAATCTCTTTTCACGTAATCCTGAAACATAAACACCTTTTCCCAAAGAAAACACTAAACTGCCATCTTATTTAGCTTTTTCACTCAGCTTTAAAAGACTCCAGGAAAGATGTTCTGTCCAGTAGCCCTAATGAAATGTTTGAGATACAACCAATATCAAACTGTGGGTTTTCAAGGCACAAGAGTCACTGGCCTAACAATGAACACCCATGATGTGGTTAGAAAACTGGGTACCAAACCAGTCAGTGCCAAACCACTTGGGTTCCAAACTACCCACTGACACCTGTCTCCCTGATGAGTGAGATCTAGCCCTCCTTTCCACAGTTGTCTGCTCTTGATTTCCTTACAGTTATACCTTTACAGATCAATGTTGGATTTTCTTTATTCTCAAGTACATCTTAATCTATCTTCCTTTAAGCTTCAAAAAGCTGCTATGGCTGTTTTTAGGAATACCTAAGCTATGAACGTTCTGGGTGATAAAAAACAGTACCACAAAAGTTTCAATGCAGTCAGTTTTTTGATTATCATATAAATACTGTTACACTGGATTGTCTAATGTGACTTAAGTGTTAAGGACAATGAAGTCTTGTGCTTAAGCATATGGAGTTTCTCCATGTCAAACTACCTGCCCATTGGTGGCAACAGCGTTAGGAGTTGCATTCATGTGCTCCTGAGGATGAGTCTTGGCTCAGTTTGTTTCAGTGCACAGAAAGTTAATGATGTATGTCCATGTCAAGAATCATACCAAAACATGACTTGCCAGAGTTTCAATCTCCTGGTCTGAAAAAAAACAGCAAACGTGGTACAAAGAGAAAGGTGAAGTAACCAGAGTATGAGAAAAACATCTGTTATTATTTTGTACCACAGAATAAGAACTATGCACAAAGGGTGATCATCCTACCTGAGAGTCCCGTATCAGAAATGTGGTTGAGAGTAACAGATGAAGATGTAAGGCATTTAGATGTAGGCAGACATAAGGGATGAAGATGTAAGGGATGGAGATGTAAGCAGTGAGGGATAGCCTGCCTGATTCCTGGCAAAGAGGATAAAAGCGGAAGAGTACCATATCTGGGACAAAACATTGTTTTCATTGTGGTCTTTTAGCAGTGAATATGAGAAAGAGCGCCGGTATCCAGAGACACAAGAACACGTGTTTGGCAAGAGTCTGGAGAAGGGGAGACAAGGATTGCAGACCCTAGGATGGTGGCAAGAAGTACAGGAAGCGGTAAGTCTAGAGGACATATAATTCTCGGCAGAGCATGGAGGAGATTATTTAGCATTCTGTAGTTACTGAAACCATGGAGATGGATAAAGGCACCCAGTGAGAGATAAAAAGAGAAAGGGTGTATCCCAAAAGACAGCTGCAAGATGAACCAGAACAGCAAGTCTCTTGGCTTAATAATACAGAAGAGAGCAGGGGACATGAGAGCAATCAGTCATGGGGACAGCTTGCAAAGAGGCTGGGTTGGATTCTGGTCAGTCAGATTCCAGGCTGAGAGAAACTAGAAAGAATCAAAAATAGCACTGTAAAAGAATGGAAGTGTTAAAATGCAGGGCAGTTAAACACTTAAAAGGAAGGAAGGAGGAGGTTGGAACCCTATATGGTATAAGACACTATCCAGATACGACAAACCAAACATGCATACTCTATGGTTGCTTTTTTAATAGTTAAAAACGAACAGCGCAAAAATATTTTTATTTTATAAATAAAGCCCAACATAACAATATAAAAAACAACCAAAAGAAAAAAAAAAATCCTACAAAAAAAAACACCAAAAAACCAAACCCAAAACAAATAAAATCCTGTTTCCAAACTGCCTCATGGAAGAGAAAAGCAAACTGCTGGGGAGGAAAGACAGAGCCCAGCTCATTGTTAGGGATAGTTCCAGCTGCCATTACCTCTTCATGATTGTTTACCCACCCTCCCAATGGCTGCTCACTAGATAAAAGAATGTATTACTTGTTGATGGCTTGTCCAGCTGGAGTGTGCTCTACCTCGTACCCTTCTCTCCTCAAAACATCAATCACTGTGTTGTTGCCCATGAAGTGACCTGCATTTAAGAGAAAAATGACATCAGAACTCAGTGAGCACATGGAAAGAGAGAGAAGAACAACAAAGTCCTTCCTCATCATTGGAGGCTTGCCACACTCAGGACAGGTAGTGTGGTGACCAACACGCACCAGAAACACAAGATCTCTAACAAATGATTGCTTAGCTTGCCCAAGGTCACTTCAATTACCACATTCTGCCTCTCTAAATGCAGATGTGACTAAAATTACTCTGGTCCCACAAGCTGTTGGATTACCTGGCCATTTTCAATTTCTTGGGGCAATAAGAAATTAAGTTGAGAGACACCTGTTCAGGAGCAGCACAGGGTCTACAACTGGTAGTGGTGCAAACCAGATCAGAATCTGACCACAATGAATGCATCATTTTAACATACTCTGGCATCGTAAATGAACTGAGATGTCAGTCAGCATCATTAACAATTTTTAAGTTATTAAGAAACATCCAACTGCAGAGACTGGAAAATAGCTCTGAAAGCCAATGAATTAGATCAACCCCTTTCATTCATTTGTATAAGCCATCAGGGACAGAAACATCACTTCAGTTGTGTTGACAACATTTTTGAGTGGACTTAACCTAGCTTACGCCTGCCCCAATTCTCTGATTTATGTCTCTGCTTCATTTTCAGAAATGGTGGCTGGTCAGCCCATAATTCAGTATCATAGTGAGTAAATGATTACTCAAAGGGTGCAGGAGTTATTCCTAGAGAACTGTATGCTCTGCACAGTGATCTGCATGCTCACTGACTTCCACCATCACTCTGATACCTTATTAAACAAGGCTGCTGAGAAGCAGATGGACAACAGAAGCCTTGTACAGTTCCTCATAGATTTAGCTTTCTTGAAAACATTTGTTCATTAACTAGCCTAAATTAATTAAAATTAAGCTTTGAGAAATTGTCTTATTAGAGAGCTCCCTTGCTTCTCTAGATGTAAGCAGTTCTAAAACTGATAAATAACTTCAGGAAAAAAACTTGGTTTTTGTTAATATTCTTCGTAAGTACATGCAATCAAAACACCAGAATGATCCAAGTAGCAAGGAGATAGAAAGGGAAGTCCAATAGTGATGAGATTAACAGGGCGCTGTACCAGATTTATGATTTCTCACTCCAAAATAGATTCAATGAATTGGAGCACAAATTTCCAGTTTCTCATGCCATAACACCAAGGGCTTATGAACTACCAGCTTAAAGCATCACAGTTGGATGGTGTCATTTGAGCATAGACTTTTATCAAGATGAAGGTTCCCTGAGATCCTAAGAATGCAAACAATCCAGCTCAAATGAAACTTTTCAACCAAACACTGCAATGCATGCTCACTGAGTACCACATTTTCTCACCCAGTAACTGATTTTCCTACAGCTCCTCTGCCTTTTTGCCTTCAGAAAGAGTAAAGCTAATGTGCCATTATGTGGGCTTAATACAGTTGGTATCTGGTTTTGCCAATGGTTGAGGCCCAGATCAGTTAACTGAGAATTAGCTCATATCAGCAAAACCACCAGATGCATCAGGGAACAGGAATGACTGTAATTAAACATTTTAACTAAGTAAAAGTAGCCACTGGAAGGCCAACAGAAGGTATATAAGATGCCAGACCCTATATATTTAATCTCCCACCTTTTACAAAGAGAAAATGTATGTGCAAAGGGAATGGGGATTCACTCTTCCTCCCCTGCTTCTAGATAGTAGAGAAAGGGGTGATTCCCAAAGGTGATCCAATCCTTGTAAACAAGGATGAGGTAAGACAGCTTAGACTTTTCTAAAAGTGCATCTCTATTAATGAGGATAGGGGCAGTGTATACAGCAAGCTCATATTAGGTACCCGTCTCATGTGAGCAATGTTGGATGAGCTCAGTGCCAACCTCAGCAATGAAAAGCCAAGGCTCTAAACTAATATTTTCCTAATCCAAGACTTTCAGGCTGAAAGGAACAAGACAAAGATAAGCAATCTATAGTGGCAAAATAATTTTCTTCATGGCAGGTTAAAGAGCTTACAGTCTCACACATTTCAAGAGTGAGCTACTGAATAGCTGCTCATATCACATCACCAAACATACTATCTACCATCAATCTTCAGTTACGCTTGTTCAGAGCAGTGATTTAGACTGGTGTGTGGGAAATTACTGTAGCATATGGATGAATCCCATTTCAGTCAGCCTGCTTGAGTGATTTCCTGAAGCTGGGCCTTAATCTTCCTTTTAATTTGATGGAGTGATAAGAATACCTTTTATATCAATCGTGTGCATAGGCTTTTACAAGAAGCTTTTGCTCACTGTTGCCAATGCAATGAGTTATGTCTGCATTGGAAAGAAAAATGATGCGCTAATACTCCACAAAAGAGAACAGAACAAATGAATAGATAAGTGTGAAACAGATGCATACAAACAGGTATGTGATACTAGATTGTTCAGAAGACATGACCAACCAGGAGCTGCTCAGGCTAGGTATATAAAAGGATCAAGAGATGTCAGTGTTTGCTATACAAAAGGCATACCATGTGTGCTTTGTGAGACAGAGCTGGTCTGGGGCTCAGAGGACCTACAGGCTCAACCTGAGCTAGGTGCAAAATGAAAAAAGGAGAGAAAGGAGAGGGTTTGAGGTACAGGACCCCACCAGAGTCAGCACTTCTGCCTCTTTCCTGGGAACTGCCACAAAAAGAGCCTGGTGGCACGTGAGAGACCTGATCATCAAAAGCAACTGTGAAAAACGTGATTCACTCTTCAAGGTTTAAGATTAAGCAGCTCTCCTGCAAGGAAGACTTAGCCCAAAGTCACATGACAGGGAGTAGGCCTCTTTCACCTGTTTTCTACTTTAGTCTAACACACTTGAATGCCCCCAAAAGAAAAGCCCTGGGCCCTGTCCCACCAGAAAGCGTCCTCTTTTCTTTCTGTATGCAGCCCTGCATTATCTTCACACCACTAGGTGAAGAGCTGTATCTGTGAGGTCAATTTACCCTGCTAGGGGGTGGGGAGTGATGAATCTCTATTCTTCTGTGTTCAAGCTCAAAGAGAAACTAAGCTTAGCCATGCACTCTACTGGAGAGTAAATAAGACCCCAGCCTTTAATCTGCCCTGAAAGGAGATGGCATGCAGGGACCGCAACAGGCAATATGCTCAAACAACAATGCTGTTTGACTGATGTGCACTTGTAGACTAGTCTACACATTTGGAAATGCATTGATAGCTCCTGACCTTCCTCAGTAGCAGTACCCAATCCTGCAGAATACAGGCTACTACTGTTGCCATAAAATCCACGTCCCCTGCTTGCAGCTTTTATTGCCAGTGCACACAGAGGCATTCTCACCTAGGCATTCTCTCTGCTAGGACTGTGGGTTTCAGCAGAGGCTCCTGAACATGAATTTGAGCCACCATGAGGCTGAAAATTTTCTCCATCTAGTGAAATGGATAAGGAAATGCTGCTTAACAGAAGTTCTGCGTCTGTTCCTGATTTTTTTTTTCATATAAAGAAAGATTGTAAGACTGTGGAAAATTTACTCTCTGAATTTCAGCAAAATCCACAGTTTCAAGCTCACACACAAATTGTCCTGGCCTTCTCTTTAGAGTCATTTAAAAGTAAACTCACAAGCCCACATAATTCTTCATGTCTGTTGTGTTTTCCTTAATAGAAAAATGGCACTTCCCATCAGTCTCAGAAACATGCCAGGACCTCACCACCTACAAATGTCCCAAGACAATGAATCACTGGACATCCATGTGAAGAAACAAAACTGTTTGTTAGGAAACCTGATCTGGAGTGCTGACCTACAAGAAGTGGTGGGAACAGCTACAGCACATGATCCTAATAGTGCAAAATTGCACAAATAATTCTAGCCTCAGGGGAGATCAGAAATCAGGATGTTTATCTCTGGCTGGGTAGGGAACACTCAGGACTTCTGGTGCAAGAGACTATGGGTCACTGAAAAAAATATTTTCAAGAATGTTTTAGAGATACAGAACTTACAATTATTCAGAAAATTCCTGGAAATGCCCATGGCAATGGTCATCTACTGTAATTTTTTTTAGACTGCTTCCAAGTATTACACAGATAAATTCATATAACATGCTCCAGAAAGGTGAGTATGACACCTATAGGTGGCTGGATTACAGTTACTGGCCTGTAACAAAGCCATGACATGAGGCGGTTTATTACGCTACCCATGAAAAAAAGCCCCATGAATAAGAAAAGAGAAACTTCAGCAAAAAATTATCAGTTAACTGTGAGGCACAAAGGACAGTTCATCCCCTTCTGTGTGCCTCCCATGGCTGGGTTCTTCTGCTGCCCTTTCAGTAATCAAAGTATTCTCCAACAGCAGTCTGTGAGCCCAATAAACCCACGGAGAAGTGTTCAAAATTGCCAGTGCTCCCTTAAAGGATGCAAAAGCAAGCACAGGAGAATTCCTGATCATCTGGAGAGCAGGGACATGCATGGCCCAAGTGAGTCCCACAGGTATCTGCAGTGAAAAACTTAAAGTTCAGTGTATGGAAGATCCAGCCAATGATCTAGAGAATGAAGTGTACTGTCTCAAACAATTTCGCTGGATGGAAGCCAAACTGCAAAAGAGAAGATCCTATTCCTCCTACAGGTCCAGATCCCTTTAGGGTTCATCAGTCCACGAGGTGGACAAAGACATCATATTGACATCAGGTGCCTGATGAAGCTGAGTTCCTGGAAGACACAGCTCTTGGGACACAATGACTAAGAATGGAGACACTGAAAGTACTTGTACAGTACTCCAACCCACAGTGTTCCCACAGGCAAGAACTCTTACAGAGGAATTTTCTTCATCTCACTCCATGGTCTCTAATTCTCTGAAAAGAACTGAAAGGAGTGAAATACAAGCAACCCTGATGAAAGAAAAGGATGCTCCTCCTCATCCCCAAATCTCTACGTAGTTTAACCTTTTGCCACAAGGCTAGGAGACAGCTCATGCTCTGTCACATTAAGTGACAGGCAAAGCAATTTTTCACACATACCACGAAGTGAC